TTATAATATAATAAACCAGAATCTATCTATATTATATATAAAAACAAAATAATCATGAACTTTAATTTCCCGCCCAATTCTTAAAAAATCTCTCTTTCTAATAAAATATATTGTTTTCTACTTTCTATTCGTACTATAATTCTAGGTTAAAATTCCTATTCTTCCAAAAGGCTGAACCCCAACCCTAAGGTAAAATTCCTATTCTAATATTATAAAATAGTGTAATACAATTCCTACCCATTCGTACTATAATTCTAGGTTAAAATTCCTATTCTTACCCCAAATATAAAATAGTGTAATACAATTCCTATTCTAATCTATATCTATACTATCTATCTATACTATACTATATATAAAAACAATATTTTGAAATTTAACTTCCTGCCAAATATATTGTTTTCTACTTTCCTACTCGTACTATAATTTTAGGTTAAAATTCATATTCCAATATTATAAAATAGTATAATACACTTCCTATTGTAATCTATACTATATATAAAAGCAAAATCCTGAACTTTAATTTCTCGCCCAATTCCTAAAAAATTTCTCTTTCTAATAAAATATATTATTTTTTACTTTCCTATTCGTACTATAATTCTAAGTTAAAATTCCTATTCTAATATTATAAAATAGTGTTATACAATTCCTATTATAATCTATACTTTTATACTATATATAAAAACAAAATCCTGAACAACTTCCCGCCCAATTCCTAAAAAATCTCTCTTTCTAATAAAAATATATTGTTTTCTACTTTCCTATTTGTAATATAATTCTAGGTTAAAATTCCTTCTAATATTACAAAATAGTGTAATACAATTCATATTCTATTCTATATTTATACTATCTATATTATATATAAAAAACAAAATTCTGAACTTTAACTTTCCGCCCAATTCCTAAAAAAATCTCTTTCTAATAAAAATATATTGTTTTCTACTTTCCTATTCGCAGTGTTGCAAAAATCGCGCCTAGGCGCCGATTAGCCTAGGCGCTAGGAGGCCGCCGCGAGGAATGGCCTCGGCGGCCTCCTCCGCGGCCAGCCGCCTAGCCGGCCGGCTAGGCGGCCGCCTAACCAGCCGGTTCGGCGAGGTTTTTTTTTTTTGAAAATGGACCAAAGGCGGTTTGGTCCACTAATTTCTCAAAAAAAAATGTTTCTTTAGCTCTTAATTTTAGTGTTTTTTTTTTTTTTTTTTTTTTTTGTTTTTAATGTATTTAGATGGTTTAAACAATCTTTTGAACAATTTTACAACCACTTTTGTAAATAGTTTCTAAGAAATAACTATGGAAACCTTATGTTTTAATACTAAATTTTGAAAATTTTTAATTTTAAATTTTTTTTAATTAAAAAAATAAAAAAAAAATAAAGATAAAAAATAAAAAATCGGCGCCCTAGGCGCTAGGCGCCCCCTTGGCGCCTAGGGGGCGCCTAACGTTTTTTGCAACATTGCCTATTCGTACTATAGATCTATGTTAAAATTCTTATTCTAATTTATATCTATATTATATATAAAAACAAAATTCTGAACTTTAACTTCTTGCCCAATTCCTAAAAAATCTCGCTTTCTAATAAAATATATTGTTTTATACTTTCCTGTACTATAATTCTAGGTTAAAATTCATATTGTAATATTATAAAATAGTGTAATATAATTCCTAATAGAATATATTGTTTCCTACTTTCCTATTCGTACAATAATTCTACATTAAAATTTGTATTCGTAATACAATAGGACAATATATTCTATCTCACACTACAAATACTCCATGACGCAAATATATTCTATCTGACACTACAAATACTCCATGCGTAACTCTTTTAACGCACAAAAAAATCTCGCACTACAAATAAAAAATCCAACAATATTGTATATTATAAAATAGTGTAATACAATTCCAATATATTGTTTCCTACGTACTTTCGTATTCGTACTACATAATTCTACATTAAAATTCCTATTCGTAATACAATAGGACAATATATTCTATCTGGCACTACAAATACTCCATGCGTAAATATATTCTATCTGGCACTACAAATACTCCATGAGTAACTCTTTGAACGCACAAAAAAATCTCGCACTACAAATACAAGAAACGAAAAATCTAACAATATTGTAGTTTTGGCGATTTGAAATTTTATAATCTATACATTCCAATAATTTTTTTTTTTTTTTTTTTTTTTACTAATGGAGTCTTTTTTTTTTTGTCTCTGCTTCCGACCTAACTCCCAAGACGAGAAAAAGTTGTATAAGGCTCCGGCTTATGCGTTGTTATTTATCAAGGGAATATCCACGTTCCACAGTCAACCAACAGACACTTGAGTGCTTACTCCATGACTCCCAAGTGAATGTTATTAATTATAGTTCTATGATTTGTAGTAAACGTTATGGTTTTGATTTTATTTTACTAATCTTTTGTTTCTCTAATTTTCAATTCTATTTTGGCGTGTTTGGTAAATAGTTGTTAGCTAATTGGGTATAACAATGAGTTTGACGTCTCTTTTCTTTCTGTTTTATGTATTGAGTTACTTCTCAATTCCAAGTGATTGTAATATTGTCGCTCTCCTGCAAGCATTTGCATCACAGTATATATACTGTCAAAAGAAGAAAAAAAACATAAAAAAAAATATGTAGACATAAACTAAATTCAAATTAGAAAATGATTTGTTTAACTGAAAATATAATTATGAAATAAGTGAAATGCTATGAAATAGAAAAGAGAATTTATGAATTTTCACTATATATTTTTTTTACTTCGGGAAAAGAGTTTTTTTTTTTTTTTTTTTTTTTTTGCTATATTAGATTAAAAATGAAAACAAAATAATAATTGTTTCAATCTTCATTTATGGAGTCTTTAATGGCTTCAGTTATAATTTTTTTTTTAAAAAAAAATATATAATACAAAGGCCTTTTGGGATGCGCACTACCCATAACAAACATATACATTCATATATAAATGAGGAAAAAAAAAAGTAAAGGCGATATGGTGAAAAGGAATATACTTAAGGTATAAAAGTATAATTGCACTGATATTAGTATAATTGACTAATAATTATTATGGTAATTAAGCTAAACATGGATCGTTAGATTTATTTTTATAATAATTACAATTAAATTATTTATAATTTTTTCTCCTATTTATTTATATTTTTTGGATCAAAAGAGAGGGAAAAACCCAGCAAGAAGCTCTCAGTCCAAGTCAATTAGCGACACCTCCTCTGTGCGGCTGTTGCCGCTGGAAACTCGCTCCATTTCTGTCTTCCTAGAGCAAGCCCTCCACTGTAGCAGGCGGATTAAAGAGGACCTGATTACCCAAGGTGTGAGAGAGGCCAATCACGGCAAGATTGTCCGCCACCCTGTTCTGTTCCCTTACAATATGCGAAAACTTCACTTTCTCGAAACGGCGGCTTTCTCTAATGCATGCAAGAAAGATGTTTCTCCATCTTTCCTGCCCTCGGGCGTTCATAGACAAAACCCTGATCACCACCGCAGAGTCACTCTCAACAACAATCTTCTTAGCTCCATACGCGTCAGCCATGCGCAAACCTTCGAACACCGCCCAAGCCTCGGCCTCGTCCGCTGAGCAGGACCCCACGTTTCGTGAGAAGCCTCGAAGCCAGTTACCTTGCTCATCGCGAAGCACCCCTCCACAGCCTGCCCTCCTCTCCGGTCCCTTGCAGAATCCGTCAACATTCACCTTGACCCATCCTACTGTCGGCTTCTCCCATGCAAAGGCCGTTGCAGAATGGTTATTTCTCCTCACAATGGGTGACCACTTCTTACGAAACGCTTCTTGTATCTCCATCCTCTGCTCTTGGATCCACCGGAGCTTATCAGTCAAGCTTTTGCCTCTGCCGTTGAACACTCTATCATTCCACCACCTCCAACACCACCAAAGCGCAATCCCGAAGGTCTCCGACCATTCTTCTGGAAATCCCAGCTTGGTGTCCGCCCTCAAATTCATAGCAAGCCATTCTGGCCAGACCCTTGTTCTGGACTCGTGTTAACGCCCCAGGTAGCAGCGCCTCCCATAGCCCCTCGACCTCCGAGCAGTCTCTGAAGAGATGGATCAGCGACTCCAGCACACCTACACAAATCGAGCACATGTTATTCGCAGTGAATTGTCTCTTGGCTCGCTCCACATTAGTCATAATTTTTTGGTGCTTGGCGAGCCATAAGAAATGGACCATTTTATTTGGAATTTTAGTCGCCCAAATACGCTCCTATTTATTTTAGTAATAATAATATAATTACATAAATCATATTACTTATCAATTTTAAAAAATAATTGCAGACAAACGAGTCATATATTATTCAACTAATTGAGTGATACATTTACACTAATCTTATAATCAAATATTAGAATTATTTATAATTTCATATTTAATTTTATTGTCTAAATATATAATAAAAAAAATTTCCGTGCGTCGCATCGCATGGGTAATTGGGCAATTATTTACTTGAATTCAAGCCAGGATAACATAATCGAACCAACCAATTTCATCAATTGCACAATATAATACTTGTTATTATAATTTATATAACTGTATATTGATTCAAATATTCTTAAATATTATAACAAATCAATTTCGTGCAACGCAGTGGTGAAAATACTAGAATTTTAAGAATATTTGAATCGGTATGCAATTATATAAATTATAACAACAAATATTACATTGTGCAATCTATTTAATATTTAAAATACAACAATATTAAAATTCATATTCTTAATTTTCCGTCACTACTCAATATTGAATCAATGATATTTAGTTACTCCAATCTATTTATTCGACTTTGTTATTTACTTTTCATTGTTTATAAATAAACTAATTTATTATTTTTTCTTTTTTCCTTTTAAGAGTTGATGTTATCGGATTCAGATAAAAAAAAATAGTTTACTTTGGTGGAGTTGGGGAAGCTGATATCTTTGTGGGGGAAGAGCCTGAAACATTGGTAACATAATTTATCGACGAGCAAAAGAATGTTTACGACTCTGTGATGAATGATATTGGTTCCAATGGAGGTGGATTGTTCTTTGTGTATGGTTACGGAAGAACATGCAAGACGTTCATGTGGAAAATGTTATCGTCAAAGATAAGCAGCTACAATGATATTGTTCTGAATATTACTTCCAGTGGAATAGCATCTTTGCTCTTGCCGGGAGGCAGGCCGACGCATTCCAGATTTGCTATACCACTCTCGTTGAACGAAGATTACATCCCACATGTAATATATCGGAAGGCAGTTACCTTGCTGATCGATGAACTTATAATAATGAGCAAATTGATAATATGGGATAAAGCACTGATGACGCACAAACACTATTTTGAGACTTTGGACAAAACCATGAGGGATCTATTGAGGTTTGCCACACCGGGTAGTGCTGAAAAGACTTTTGGTGAAAGGACAATAGTTTTGGGCAGCGATTTTAAACAGATCCTACCTGTTATTCCGAAAGCAACAAGACCAGTAGTTGTCTTAGCAAATATTAATTCTTCATACATGTGGACAAATTGCAAGGTATTAAGACTCACCAATAACTTGAGACTATGAACCTTAGCTTCAGAGGAAGATAGATAGACGGTTGATTGATTTTCAAAATAGATTGCAGACATCAGAGATGAGATTGCAAGGATTGTAAACAGTGGTTCATTTGAGATCGATATTCTAGCACAGTTTTTGTTGAAGTGTGGACACAATCCCATAGCAACTATAGTGGAAAGCACATTCCCAAGCTTGAGATATGACATGCTTGATGAGTCGCAGCTAAAAGGCCGAGCGATCCTCTCGCCGACTTTAGATGTCGTTGATCAAATTAATCAGTACATGTGCGACATGAATACTGTAGAAGGACGAAAATATTTAAGTTGTGACTCTTTGTGTAAGGCAGAATCAGATAGTGAAAATCTATCAGAAGTACACACTCATGGATTCTTAAATAGTTTGAGATTTTCGGGTCTTCATAATCATTAATTGACATTAAAGGTCCGTGCACCTGTTATGTTATTGCGGAACATAGACCACTCTCTTGGTCTTTGTAACGAGACATGACTCATCATCACAAGATTGGTAGATCACATTGTCGAAGCAAGAATAGTTAATGGGACACATGAATAAACCAAAGTTCTTATCCCCCGAATGTCTCTCACTCCTTTTGATACGAGGTTGTCCTTCAAGTTCTAGCGTAAACAATTCCTGTTGATGCTTGCATATGCCATGACTATCAACAAAAGCTAAGGTCAAACACTAACTCACGTTGGGTTATTGCTAAAACAATTGGTCTTTAATCATGGTCAATTGTACGTGGCCTTTTCCCGAGTCACCCATCTTGATAGCCTGAAGGTGTTAGCTCTAAACAATGATAGACAAGAGGTATTGCAACTACCAATATCGTCTACAAAGAGGTTTTCAATAACGTGTAAATACAATCGATGATATTATGTTTTCTTTTCATTTTGTTTTTCCAAAATAACAAAATTGCTATATATCTAGACAAAAATATATCCTTTATACAAATGAATTAGGATAACAATTGATTACTATAACAAAGTTGTTAGAGAACGAGCACATTTGCCCAATTTATAAAAATCCTAAACAATGATATATAAAAATCTCTAAAGTTACAGCACCGCATGCGTACATCTACACATTAACTATTAATTTGAGCAATTTTGTGGTTGTATGTCTTTAGGTCTCCTAAACACTAACTCCTAATCATAATGGTAGTCTAGCTATTAGGTTATTAGTGTTGCACCACACATCAAATACTTAACATTATCATAACTTATACACCATTTAGAGAGAGCTGAGTAGAAGTGAGAGACAAAACTATGTAGTAGTCCGGATCGCACATATTATATGATGCATGTGATATGGTAACATCAACAAACATAAACGATCCAAACCATATCTTCAATTGCACTATATAATACTCCGTATTTGATGTTATAATTTAAATAATTGTATATCGATCCAAATATTCTTAATATATTATAACAAATCCATTTTGTGCATCACACGGGTGAAAATACTAGTTATACGTAATAATAAAAAATATATCATTTAAATAATGAAAAAATTTGTACAAGGAATATACTCAGCATATTTTTACACCAAATTTTTATTATTATATACCACGCCTCCACTAAGGCTCAAACTCACAATCTTCCAAATAGAAGTCCAACCCGAGTACCATTAGACCACTTAGTCCTGGTCCAAAAGAGTACACTGTATGATCTCTAAAACTTTAGAAGCATGCCTTAAGTAGAGATCTCTTAATGTTAGCATAATGCTAACTATATTCTATGACTTCTTTATAAGTTAACTTTAAGCACTACCTCTAACAGCTAAGAGCTTGGAGTTGACACATCTGTCACTCCCACTCATCAAAAATAGCCAAAAGATAGTCAAGTCACATAAGCATTCCAATAACTTAGACAATAAGCCAAAGGTCTAAGCCCAAAAATTTGGAATCTTAATCATACACCATAACTTCCCAAATAACTTCAATGTTCACTTTAAATGAACTAAACATAATGAGTCTTACTTATATGTCTCACGAAGTTTTAGAGAGATTTCATATGCAAAATTGTTCACCAAACGCTGCTCCCATATCTAAGGGGGATAGATTCAGTTTGGACCAATGTCCGAAAAATGATTTGGAGAAAGAATCCATGGAGAACATCCTTATGCTGCAGCAGTTGGATGTCTTGGACATATTCAAGTCTGTATGAGAAACATCCCTTAAGGTACCGAGAATAAACATAGGGTTTGTTCATTAAGGACCTAAGTTGGAGAATTAAAATGCATGTGACCATAAAGGATACTATCTAAAATACCAACCTATTTACACCAAAACACCAAAATACCAAATTTCTATACTAAAATAATTTGATTTCTCAATTATTAGTTCGAACTTAATTAGTTTAATATAATTTAGTTCAAACTTAATTAGTTTAATATAAAATATAACTTGTGATGTAAATAATAATTTTTATTAACATCAATTTTTATGACATTAATTATTAAAAAAATCGAATTTAACAATATTTATAAAATTTAATTTATTCCACAACAATAATATAGCATAAAACATCTAATACATTTAATTATAGGAATTACTATATCGTTCCCACAAATGCTCAATCAATGTATTATGGAGTGCATAATGAGCTTCTTTATCTTTAATTTGTTTATGCCGAGCAAGAAATTCTTGAAATATAATATTCTTATCTCTAGTTATATCAACTTCAGGAGACAGTGCTTCCTTCCAACCTTGTATATCTGCTTGCTCATCACGTTCATCCTCAATGATTATATTGTGCATTATAATGCATGCTGACTTTATATCATGCAATACATGCACATTTATCCCAAAAACGTGCCGGTCCCTTGACTAGCTATTGTAAATCGTGATTGGAGAACTCCAAATGCGCGTTCTACGTCTTTTCTACACGATTCTTGCATCATCACAAATAACTTCTTTTTTGGTCCTCGAGGTTCATGAATTGTTTGTACCAATGTGGACCATTTTGGATATATACCATCCACTAAATAATATCATGTGTTGTACTCCTGTCCTTGAATTACATAATGACAAGGAGGTGGTATACCGTTTGCAAGATTTGCAAACAAATGAGATGCCTCCAACACATAAATGTCATTATTCGACCCCGACATACCAAAATGTGCATGCCAAATCTACAAATCATATGATAGTACTAATTACGTGTATATGGAGTATATGTACTGTATAAAATATGTATGAACATGATATGAACAAGAAGGAGCAATATAGAGTAAAGTGGGTATTTTATTCATATATCTTCTTGAGAGTGTTCTCTTGTATGTTTATTTGTAGAGAGAAGTGGGAGGATACAGTAGAGAGAAGGAGGAGATAATGGAAGTGAACCAAAAAATCCTTCCACTTTGAGGGCTTAAAGCCCTTTTATAGGTCTAAGGTGGCGGGTTTGACCCGCTTCGGGATTGACCCGTCACCTTTGACTTTGACCCGTGGACCGGGTCCCGAACCGCTTAACTCCGACCCGATTACAAACGAGAACACGAACCCGATGTATATAACCTATCATCATAATTGGCTACAGCTTCAGGAATAATAGGTGATTCTCTACTCCGCCTCGCATATTGTCCAGCCCAGGCAGTTGGACAAATTTTCCATATCCAGGGCATGCAATCTAAACTCCCAAACATCCCTGGAAAACCACGTTTTTCGCCAATTTGAAGCAACCGTGCAACATCATTAGCATCATGTGCTCTTAGATATCGCTCCCCAAAGATCTCTACAATTGCTCGACAGGATCTCTTCAAACTTTCAATTGTAGTTGTTTCTCCAATATGGATATATTTATCTACTGCATCTGCTGGTATTCCATACACCAAAATTTGAAACGCCATTGTTACTTTTTTGTAAAGTAGATAAGCCAGTCTATCGATTCTATCATTCCGTTGCACAAAATAGTTGTCATGGCCTTTTACAACATTGGCAATTCGTAGGAACAAATTTTGACTCATTCGAAATCGTCTACGAAACATTGCTTCAGAATATTTTGGATACTCTGAAAAATAATCATTCCATAATCTTCGATCTACTTCTTCACGATCATGATGAATCACTCTATGACCAAAAGTCGAACCTCCATGCCTTGGGGATTGATTATTCATATTTTTCATGTAGGAAGCTATGGCAAGGTTGTGGCTAGTATATGCATTGGTTAATAACTGTGTTTGTGCTCGTATTGCACTTGTGAGATTGGCAAAACGAAAAGAAGATAACAAAATCCGGATGTGCCTGAGTCGATTAGACGCCAATAACTACAAATTGTAGCTGAGAGAAATCAATTGCATGGAGGAGGAGTTGAACCCAATCGTGAATTTGATAAATATTTTGATAATTTGGGAGGAAGTGGGAGTGGACTAGGAAATTATTAATTTTATTTTATTTTTCAAAATTGTGTTGTATTTTATAATATCAATATTATGTCGTATGCATTTTAATTTTTATTATGTTCTAGTTATGTTTGATGTATTTGAAATTTTAATTAATATATATTCAATATTAGTCATGTTCCGATCGTCTCAATGAGATTTTTTAAATGGTATAATTTTTACTTAATAATACAAACTTTAAATATAAGTATTTAACAAAATAAAAAATTATATATAAAACAAATAAAGGATACATTTGAAATTATTTAAAAAAAAAAAAAAAACAAGGGTAAAATGGACTATTCCTACATTTGCCGTGGATGAACAGTGCCGCACCATCTGTTCATTAACGCCAAAATAATTGGCATTATAGCGCAATGCCGTCTCCCTTTGGAGTGAGAAAATTTGCATATTTACTACTTTGCCATTGGATTTTGTTGTTATACCGCCACCTTGGAGATGCTCTAAAGCACATATATATTATTCTTTAAAAATTACAAAATACATTCTTAACATTATAATTACATGCACTGTAAAATTTTTAAATAATACATTAATGGCACGTTTGGTTCGCGGAATAGGCCTGGAATGGAATAGCATTTCTAGTAATAGGCCTATTCCTTTTACCCACACCATCGTCGCAAACGTTTGTAGCCTCCGCAATTGGCCGGAACCCCTCGCCGGTGCAATTGACTCCGGGAAATCAGAATGTCGACGATCCTCAATCTGAGTAACGGGAAGTGATCACGACACCCTCCCCTCACCATTGCAACCCTCGGATTGGCCATGCATAGTCTGCTCCGCCTAGAAAGCCGCCATTGCCAAAGGTTGAGTCGGGCCACCCGACTTCGCAACCGTCATTCGATTATCTATTGAGAGTGGCGATCCTTCTGTTGAGTCTCTACGATGACACCGGGAGTGCCAAAGGAGCCATTACGAACATGTATGTGCGTCGGAGCTGCCATGGAGGAGACTAGGCCACGATTGCAATTTTGCTTCACAATCGTCCGGTCACCCGTCTTCTCAAACAGCCCTCAAGCTTCAATCCGACCATGGCGACGAGGCCAGGGAATGGAGTGCCGACGAGCATTGCTCCTTTGCCACTGACTGCTCCGATCACTAATGGGGGTGGTGATCGCGAGGCTCGGCTGTCACTCAAAACCCTCCTTTTTCTTTGTAATTTTTCTCTCTGTTTTTTTATTCTACATAATCACAATCTGAAAAATATGAGTAATTCTGACATGTCTGATCAGTTTGACATGTCTCATCTCAGCTCCTACCTCCCCGTCGTCGTCACCGGTATTTATCGGTTCTCCGTACGGCATATGCGTTTGGCTAATAATAATAATAATAATAATAATAATAATAATAATAATAATAATAATAATAATAATAATAATAATAATAATAATAATAATAATAATAATAATAATAATAATAATAATATTATTATTATTATTATTATTATTATTATTATTATTATTATTATTATTATTATTATTATTATTATTATTATTATTATTATTATTATTATTATTACTATTTTGTATAAGGGTAGTTATGTCTTTTACACATATATTCTATTTCTATTCCTTAAACCAACCAAGCACTAGAATAACATTTCTAAAGTCTATTCCTTCACCGAACCAAACAATAGAATACAATTTCTATTCTATTCTTTACCTATTCCATTCCTTATGGAATAGTATTCCTATTCCCTCAAAATTCATTCCGCGAACCAAACCCGTAAGGGTTGGTTTAGAAACCTGAAAGATTTTATTTTTTTAAAAAAATGATTCAATATTTTCGAAAATAATTCAATTTTCTAATATTTGATTGAATCTCTTTTTCTGTTTGACTAAAAGTTAATAAATTATATTTTTTCTATTTAGTTCATTTTTCTAAAATGAACATATTATTTGTTATAAAATATAAAATAACAACAACAACAACAACAACAACAATAATAATAATAATAATAATAATACTAATAATAAGTGGTGGTATGATAGTGTTGGTCATGGTAGTAGTAGTGGTGGTTCGCTGGTGGAGTAGTAATAATAATTTGAAAACTAGTTTGAAAAGATATGAGAGAGAGAAGATAAATACGGAAAAATAAAGAATATGGCAAATGTCTTCCGACTAAAAGTCTAGGACGACACTTTCTGCCAAGTTTAATCTTTTTTTCGACTTATCAGACTGAATATTTTTCTCTGACTCTATTTTCCTTGTATAGTAAACACAAGAAAATTCAAAAAATAACTTTCAAAAGTAATTTTTTGAATTTCCAAACGTACTCTAAATATATTCGCCTAAATTAGTGTTTCCAATTAGAGTAAGCAACATTTTGAGACAAATGGAGTATTAATGTATTATAAATATAAAAAATATAGTAGTATTTTAGTAAATAAAATGATAATTATTTACAAAACTATTACCAACTCTATCTTTATATTTGTAGTGGTAGTAGGTATATTGTTTTTTTTTTTTTTTTTTTTTAGTGATACTCACTGAAACAATTTTTTTTTTTTTTAAATACACTAATATGCAATACGTATACCCATTTCAAATAAATTACTCAGTAATATTTTAAAAAATCAGTGAATATATTCTTTTAAACCTGTATACACATTTTTTTTATATTAATAGGAAGGGATACTCAATTACATCAAATGCATCCACTGAAGCTCAAACCTATTGATGGATATCATACTAGGCCTAGGCCACCTGGACCGGCCCAAGGAAGCGACGGGATAAAGAAAGCCCAAGAAAGATATACGATGCGGAGCAATTCAAGAGTTTGTTAAGGATTGGGCCTGTTATTCCTAATATAATCAGAATTGGACTCATTATTTTTAGTATAGTAGAATTAGGTCTTATTATTCCAATGTAACACAGACTCCCGATATGAGGCAGTCTAGGATTCTTATTTCTTGTAGAGCTCTTCGGCCCAAGTTATGTATAAAATTATAAATAGACCCTTCACACAAAGGGGAGAGGACAACTCTCGGCATTCACGAGCAATACTCTTCAATACAACATTCCTATATTTTCGCCATATATTTCTCCTATATTCTCGTTATTCTAAACGGTAGTGTTGGCCTGCCGTTGTTTGCCCAAAAGTCATAAAACCAACACCTATCATCTACCACGTAAGGGAGCAACGTGGTACTATTGGACTACAAGGTCCTTTGTTAAAACCTGTATACTTTATTTTATGGGATAATTTTTTTTTCTTTTTAGAGTCGTAAGTGAGGTAGAAAATCGAGGTGGTTTTAAAGGTGAATGCGAAAGGTGTGATGTTTATTGGGGATCTTGCGCGTCTAAGTTATATATAAACATAAATGTATAACTTAACTATTGGTTTATATTTTTAATTGAGATAAAACACATGCTTTAATTTAATATTAGAGCCAATCTCATACTAATAGTTATGAATTTGAATCTTTGCATCTTCGTGTTACTGGATAAAAAAAAATTATGACGTGTTGAGTAAATAATATTATATAACTATAAATGTGCAATCCAACTATCAATTTAATCTTTTAATTAAGATGATCGAAACACATGCTTCAGTTTGTCCCTATCTAATTTTAGCTTCCCTTTCGTTTATCTTTTGCTCTTATCCACAAATACTCTCCTCACAATTTGGAAACAAAATATGGCTATTCAAACATCTTAATTCCTATACATTAAAATTTGTCTTTCTTGTTATATAAAATGTTACAATGTTATTGATATAATATATTGTGACACCCCGTAAATTCAAAATCTATTTAAGGATTAATTAGATAATTAATCATAGTTTATTTGGTAATTTATTCCTAAAATCCTGAAAATTCAATAGTCGGAGGACTAGAAATTGGCTAGTCAATCCAAGTCAAAGAATTGTAGTCTATGCTTTATGAATTATTCCCTTGTCTCCTTACTCTTCCCACTTTAGTAAGGGAAAAGAAGTCTTTTTACCTTATATTTGTGCCCCAAGCTAACCTAGCATTCATCCTCTTATTTCATTCACTAACACCCTAAACACAAAAGCTCCACCTTCTCTCTAGAGATTGATAGCTTCTTCTTCAAGCAAATTTTGGGTGTCTTAAATCCTACAAGTTGGTCTCCAAGATTCAAACTTTCTTAACCTTGAGCATAGGGGAGGGAAAGATCCTTGATCTCTTGGTGTTTTTAGTATCTTTTTAGGTGTTTTTTTCTAAAGATGGAATCTTTGTGTCTTTTGGTGTGTTTATGAAGTTGAAGTTGAAGGAGAGCTTTAAGAGAAGCCTTTAAGGGTGTGAAAAGTGAAGTGTTAGGCTACAAGAGGTAACCCATGCTTTACAAAATCTATTTTCTTACCTATATGATGATTTCTTGACTTCTACTTGTGATTTTTGATATGAAATGTGAGTTTTGATGCATTATCTTGTGGTAATGCATATCTAGAGCTTGTTATTAGGGTTCTTGTATGCCATTGCTTGGCTATTTCTTGGATTCAAGTCATATTGTTGTATTTTGTGAGATTTTGGGTGTTTTGGACTTGTTGGTGAAATCCCCGAAGGAATTATTTTGGACACAGGTTGGTACCCGCGGGCAGGGAACCACCCGCCGCCCCACCCGCGGGGAACAAAGGGTTGTGGGTGTGGTTCCCGCGGGCGGAACCACGGGTGGAGGTCCACCCGTGGCTCCACCCGCGGGGTACACGTTTGAGGTTGTTCGGAGATTTGTTCCCCGTGATTCTTTTGACTCGATAATTGATGTTTTGACCTTCTGATGTTGTTTTATTGGGCTATTTGAGTGTCTTCTTGATGTTTCGTATGTCTAGAACGGTATGTTAGGAATCCATGTAGGATTTTGGTGTCTTGAATCGTGTTAAGTGTCCAACTTTGTGATTCATTGGACTATGATGAGTCTTTTATGTTCTATGGAACTATGTTTGGTTTACCCGTTTGATAAGCATGCTAGTTTGATGTTGAAATGCTAGTGTGTGTGGTTTGTTCTTTCCCATTGAAGTTGGCAACTTGTGTTGACCATCGTTGGTGTCGGATTGTAATCCTTCCTTGTTGAGTATGGTTTCATATCTTTATTGTGATCCATTGATTGATTCCTGTGATGAAAACGTGTGTATTGGCTGAACCTTGATTGCATGGTTAATGGTATGGGACATTAATCACCAAGGTACAGATGTGGTCCTCGTGGTGGCCATGAAATGAAATTTGTGGTGTAATCTGAGCATAGGCTCACTTGTCGGAGATTGTGAATGAAATGAATGGTACCCTCATGTACTATATGTTGGTGGAAATGTTGGAGATTGTCGGAGTGGGGACGACGGTCCACGGAGGCATAAGGTTGGACTTTGGAGTACAGGGGTCCTGGAGGTAATGGTTGGAACTGTAATAAGGCCGGGGGTAGCCATAAGGTTGGAACAGGGCATAAGGTTGGAACTTTTGACATGAAGTGTCACTGTGGCATGTAGTTGCCAATGATTGAATGTCTATTCTTTTATGATGAGCATGTCGAGTGGTATTCTACTTTGTGATCAGTAGAATACGCCTCGAGTTGTATTTGGTTATGGTGGTTGTCCTTGTCTTGTCGATGTTTTGGGATGTTGATTTCCCTTGTTCTTTTTGAGAGTGAAATAGAGTCTTTACAGTTGACTTCTCTCTATGACTTTTGAACTGATATATACTGTATTCTGTTTCGAAAATAGTTTTGTTTTATACTATCTATATATGCTACTTAACACGTATTGATGGGTTACCAGCAATATTCGCTGACTGGGCATCGTCCCCTTTCTTTATGTTGCTTTACAGGTCCTGAGTAGCTTATGGCGAGTGCGCTAGCTGTTGGTTGTAGTGTAGCTCCCTTGGACTTTGTAGATAGTGTTTTGAGCCTATGTGCCGTGGTTATGTTGAACAAGATAGTATGTTGGTTTTAGATTTGCCTGTGCATCCACATTGAGGTGGATGTGGCATAGCACTTCCTGTTTTCATGTTTTTAATTAAAGTTTTCCGCTGTCGTTTATGTTTTATGATACCTGTTAGTTACCTTGCCTTACGTATTTAATTTTTTAAAATTTCGTGAAAATCGGGGGTGTTACAGTTGGTATTAGAGCCTAGGTTTGAGCCTAGGATGTTAGAGTCAAGACTTTTAAGAAGTTAGGTGTGGTTTGAGACCCTAAGGTGACCTTAAGTATCTAAGTGATTAGGACTTAGGATTTTAGGACGCGTGGTGAGCTGTGTGTTGGTTATCATTTGTGCTGTTTGCTTTGTTGTTTCTGCTTAGCTTAGTGTTCTTTTAGTTAGCGCCAGGTAAGGGTGCGTTGTTGTCTGTGCCTACCGTAACCGTGTTGTGGTTATAGAAGCTTTGTCATGGCACCACCTCGTCAACGCGCTCGTACACCGGAGACACCAACCAACGAGCAGCTAGCTCAGAACCTGCAACACCTCACGCAGACCGTGCAAACCTTGAGTGAAGTTCTTTTGAACAACAATCATCCTGCTCCGCCACCACAGCCAACCGGACACCGGGATGTTGGACGCCTTGTATCGGGCCATAGACCACCGATGTTTGCCGGTGAGGAGGACCCTGTCGTGCTCGAGGAGTGGATTCGAACCTTCGACAAGATCTTCTCCGTTGAAGGGTGCCCTGGAGAGCGCAGAGTAGAGTTGGCATCTTTCTACTTCAGTCATGAAGCGGATCTGTGGTGGGTGCACGAGGGACCTGCATGCCAAGAGGAGGCCGACTTCGACTGGACAGCTTTAAAGGACCGGATGAGAGAGCGGTTCTACCCGGCACATGTTCGAGCTGCTATGTATGAGGAGTTTCTACACCTCCAGCAGGGTTCATCGTCTGTGGTGGAGTACCACATGCGATTCTTGGAGCTCGCTCGCTTTGCAAGGATGCTAGTCCCCACCGAACTTGCGAAAGTGGAGAAGTTCGTGTCTAGGCTCAACTACGAGGCTCGTAAGGCGTTGACCGTGAGTAAGCCGAGGACCTTGAAAGAGGCTTATCTGAGTGCTGCTGACTTATACCGACTTCAACAGTTGCAGCAGGGATCGTTTGAGCTTACAAGGAAGAGGAATGAAAGCAGTGGATCTACCAACTTCAAGAAGCCAAGACAGGACTTCCGAGCCAAGACCGCACCTTCCCCACCTCAAGGATCAAACCGAGTAGGGTCCGGTGATCAAGCTAAGACGTTCGCTTGCAGGAAGTGTGGAAAGGAGCATGTGGGAAAGGATTGCCATGGTTTTGCCCTCCGATGTTTCAAGTGTGGGGAGAGAGGACATAAGGCTGCCGTTTGCCCTCTTCAAGCTAACCAAAGAGCTTTGCAACCTAGTTCGGGAACCGGTGGAGCTTCAGGAGGGAGTTCAAACCGAGGTGCATCTGGAGCTAGACCTTCGGGTCGGGTATTCGTGATGGGTAGATCCCAAGCTGAGACGGAGGGTTGGTTGAAGGTTGGGTATTCGTGATGGGTAGATCCCAAGCTGAGACGGAGGGGTTGGTTGAAGAAGAGATGGCAGGTAACCCTTTTCTAAGCCTATCTTTACTTTGAGAGTGTGCCTTTCCTTGTTGCCTTATTTCCTTGGTATGTGATCCTTTTTGGTTTTTTTTTTTTTTAAGTGAGTTTCTTTTGTGAGTTGATCGTGCTTGTATTAATTCCGTGGTTTTTCTTTTGTGAGTTGATCGTGCTTGTGTTAATTCCGTGGTCTTGTTTGTACTCTTTCAACTCGACCATTTTCTTTTGGGTCATCTAAGTTTAATTAAGCACCCTTCAAATTTATAGTAGACAAAATCCTAAAAATCCCAGTGAGTTTGTTTTGTGAGTTGATCGTGCTTGTGTTAATTCCGTGGTCTTGTTTGTACTCTTTCAACTCGACCATTTTCTTTTGAGTTTATTTTGTGGTCTTGTTTGTACTCTTTTAACTCGACCATTTTCTTTTGAGTTTATTTTGTGAGTTGATCATTTATTTCTGGGTGGATCGTGCTTGTGTTAATTCCGTGGTCTTGTTTGTAGATTTCAACTCGACCATTTTCTTTTGCAAGTTACCAATCCAACCTTTGAACCACTTGAACCAATTGTGTTACTTGAACCTTGTCCCAATTAAATTCCATTTCACCTATCTTTTTCACTCTACCCAAAAATCCCCAAATTAAAACCTTCTTTCTCCCAATTTTCCCCAAAATTCCCCAAACCCTTCATTGTTCCCTTTCCACCCGTGAGATACCCGAACCCCCTACCCGTTGGCCCCCTGTCCCCGTCGCAACCGAGAGCAGCCGCCGACGCCATCGCCACCGAACCCGACCGCCGCCGCTGTCGTGCTCTGCTGCTGTTTCGCCGAGACGCCGCGAGCGAGAGAGAGAGGGAGGAAGAGTGTGAGAAAAAGAAGAAAAGAAAGAAGAGAAGAAGTAGAAAAGAAGAAGAGAAAAGTTTTGGGTTCCCCTTTTGAGTCTTTGGGTCATCTCAGAATCATGCCCAGAAGGTCTAATTTGACAAGAAGAGTGGAATGGGTGGATGCCCACTACCTCGTGTTGGAAGGTAAAGCCTTTGATCCTGATTCTTTTTCAAGTTCTTTGTTGGAGATGTTGAATTATCAGGGTCTGTTGGATGGGTTTCTCGCCATCAGGGTTGAGACTTACCCGAGTTTGGTAAAGGAATTCTACCGTCACATGGTTGTGACTAAGGATGGTGGAAAGTTGGAGGTTACCTATAAGGTGAGAGGTGTGAAAATTGTTCTGTCTGAGAAGAGGCTGGCTCAGCATTTGAGTCTGACTGCCATGGGAGCCTCGCAGTATAGTGGTAACTCCTGGATTGAGACAGAAATCATGGGTTATCGAGACTATTTGAGTTATCTCTTGGGTCGGACTAGTGATTTTACCCAGGCCACGAGGCCGGAAAGGAAATGGTTGACTGCTGAATAGAGGATCTTGGTTATGCTTGTTTCTGACTGTCTTTCGCCTAATAACAACAAGAGCCGTCTGTTGGGAAAGTTAGAGTGCACGCCTTTTGCTTGAAGAATATGGTGAAGTTCAACCTGCCTGCTTTAATGTTGCATCATATGGTCTTTTGCCGAGATCATAACCGAAAGAGTCTACCGTATGGTATGGTTTTGAGCTGGATCTTCGCCAGGAAAGGTGTAAGTGTTGAAGGTTGTGTGCCTAAGCCAGTGGGTAAGATAGTGTTAGATGCCACAAACCTACGGAGTTGCAACCTGTTTCAGATTGATGACGGGGAGTACATCACGCTTGAGGAAGTCGCCAGGAAAACCCCCGATTAGAGAAATGCATTGGTTGCTGAGCTTAAGATTCCCGTTGGGAAGTTGAACCTCGCAGTTCGGAGCTTAGGAGGAGATGCGGGGAATGATGAAGTTGAAGACCAAGAAGAGGACCAAGAGGAAGATGTGGATGTAGGAGAAGCTGCTGAAGCCGAAAAGAGCAACTCTGAGGATGAAGAGAATCTAAGAAGGAAGGAAGCCAGAACCAAGAGGGAACACGACGCCATGACCCACGAGGAGCGTGTGGTCACCCTTCTTCGCCAGCAGAACAGAATGTTAGAGGAAGGCTTCGCATACATGAAGACGTAGTTCGTCGCGGTCAACCAGAGGTTAGACCAGCTTGAGGCTGGTTCTAGCCGAAGAGGAGATGATGAAGAGTCTGACGAAGACACCGAGGAGTCGGAGAGCGAGTATTTCTAGTTCGGAGTTGTGGTAATCTTGTCTTTCTTCCCTCGTTAGTGGTTATCGTTATGTTGTTGTCGCTTGCTAGTTGTTTTGTTGTTTGCCTTGTGTGATCTTTCTTGTTTGCTAGTTGCGTTGGATAGTTAGTTTTGTGGGTTGTTTTACTATGATCTAGTTGTTTAGAAAGTTTGGTTGTTATGTTTGACCTTAGTGTTTGTTGTGCTCAAGGAACTACGTTGGTTATTTCTTTAAACCTTGCAATGCCATGATCTCTTGATAATTTTTCATCTTTTTGAATTCTTGAAGTTTGGCCAAAAGACGTTCTTGCTTCTCTTGTCACATTGTTGTTTCATTTTGCCGTTTTGTTTGGATTCGTCGTACCCAAACTTCGGGGACGAAGCTTCTTTTAAGGGGGAGAGGATGTGACACCCCATAAATCCAAAATCTATTTAAGGATTAATTAGATAATTAATCCTAGTTTATTTGGTAATTTATTCCTAAAATCCTGAAAATTCAATAGTCGGAGGACTAGAAATTGGCTAGTCAATCCAAGTCAAAGAGTTGTACTCTATGCTTTAGGAATTGTTCTCTTGTCTCCTTACTCTTCCCACTTTAGTAAGGAAAAAGAAGTCTTTTTACCTTATATTTGTGCCCCAAGCTAACCTAGCATTCATCCTCTCATTTCATTCACTAACACCCTAAACACAAAAGCTCCACCTTCTCTCTAGAGATTGATAGCTTCTTCTTCAAGCAAATTTTGGGTGTCTTAAATCCTACAAGTTGGTATCCAAGATTCAAACTTTCTTAACCTTGAGCGTATGGGAGGGTAAGATCCTTGATCTCTTGGTGTTTTTAGTATCTTTTTAGGTGTCTTTTTCTAAAGATGGAATCTTTGTGTCTTTTGGTGTGTTTATGAAGTTGAAGTTGAAGGAGAACTTTAAGAGAAGCCTTTAAGGGTGTGAAAAGTGAAGTGTTAGCTCCCTTGGACTTTGTAGATAGTGTTTTGGGCCTTTTGTGCCGTGGTTATGTTGAACACGATAGTATGTTGGTTTTAGACTTGCATGTGCATCCACAATGAGGTGGATGTGGCATAGCACTTCCTATTTTCACATTTTTAATTAAAGTCTTCCGCTGTCGTTTATGTTTTATGATACCTGTTAGTTACCTTGCCTTACGTATTTAAGTTTTTAAAATGTCGTGAAAATCGGGGGTGTTACATATATACTTTGTAAAATATATTGTACTCTCCGCTTTTATTTTTTTTGTCAGACCATGAGATGTCCTGAGTAGACCCTAACTGTAGGAGGCACCTTTAAGCTCGAACTTTAAGCCCGCACCATATTCAGACTAATCCCTATTCGCATCGGATTGGCCCAATTAAGGGGCAAAGTGCTGGCTAGTTTTTTCATACGAGATGAGGTTCCAACTTCCGACCTCTCTTAAGGGATGAGAGTGCACGGCCACTCACACTAACCAAGCTGGTTTCTCCGCTTCTATTTATTTCTAATAACAAGATATAAAATATTTTTTTTAAATGCTACTGACTCTATTACATTGTATTATCTGTTCAAACATACTTTCGCAACCTACTAAAGCACAAAGAGTCAACAACGTCTCCACTAAGGCTCGATATCATGATCTCCTATATGAGAGAGTCAGTACATGCTAAGCACAAGGTGCTTGGCAACAAGATATAAAATATAATTCTACAAAGAATTAATTCTATTTTTAGTCCTAGATTTATAGGTGACAGTTCACTTTTAGTCCTTTTTTTTAATCAAAACATCCCCTTTTGGTCCTAGTATTATTGTGACATGACCAATTTTGGTCCTCTATCAACAAATCGTTGAAATTTCGTTAAATAGAATGACATTTTGATCTTTTTAATACAAAGTGCGTTGACCCATTATATATTTTATATTTATTTATTAAAAAAATTCATAATTGAACAGCGAAATGCTCTTGTATTTAACGCAATTTCAATGATTTTTTTGATAGAGGACCAAAATTGGTCATATCACAATAATACTAAGACAAAAAAAAAATGTTCTAATAAAAAAAAGACTAAAAGTAGACTGCCACCTATAAAGCTAGGATCAAAAATGGAATTAACTCTTCAACCAACTATATGCCATTGAAACTTATGAAATTATGAAATTATAAAATTTATAATATACCATATCATTTTATGTGCCCGGGCATAATGAAAACAAATTTTTAATATATAGAGCTAATGCATATTTTAATAACTAAAATGTAAAAGGTAAATGTCAAATGAGTCTTTTAATTGGAATAAAGAACTATAATTAAACATCAAACAAGTTAAAATCATGCAACCAAGTAGCTTGTAGTTCAATGACACATCTGTAACTCTCTTAAATGGGAGTCACAAGTTTGAATCCCAGTGGGACATTGACTATTTGTGCTTCAATAAAATCCCGCTAATCGGTGCCTAGGTGGTGCTGACCGACCACCTAGCGTATCACCATAATCGGTTGTCTAGGCGGTCGACTAGGTCGCCCAGTCGGCTGATTAACAAATGTTCCCTCCTTTTTTTAAAATAGGTTATTTCACTCAAAATCACAGCGTTCGGAGTGAAATAACCTTAAATTATGCAAACTCTAGATGTTTTTAGGTTAATATTTAATATTTTAGTATTAACAATTAAAATATTAAATAGTTTATATTTATCAAGTCTTAAAAATTTAAACAAATTTTTAATAAATAAAAAATACACGGGCGCCAATTAATCACCGCCTAGGCACCCTAGGCTCTAGGCGCCTCCAAGTGCCCGA